GCCTCCCCTGTTGGCCGGCCTTTCCCCGCCCCACTCCCCTCTGCTTTGTGGCTGCTAAATCAAATGTATTTTTAAATGTGCAAAACCAGAAGCTTGGCCGCAGGCTGTTGTGGGCACTATCAGTGCTGAGCAAACCGGGGAGGGGGAGCGTCGGCCTTCCCTAGAGCCAGAAACCCGCCAGCCGCCTGAGCCCTGTGGGTAAATAACCTCCAGGGCAGGGAGAGGGGATCTAGGCAGTTAATGGTCAGCGAGTTGTGTTTTCGGAGGCTTCTCTCCCCGGTGCCAGTCTGCAGAGGAAGTGAGTAGTCACCGCTCGCGGCTCCAGGCCTGGATGGGTTTGAAGGGAGCAGCTCCGGAGATGCCCTTGTGCGGCCGCCAAAGGCAGCCCTCACACAGGCGCTATTCTTCAGGGCAGAGCAACGGCCGGGGAGCCTCCTGCTCTGCTCCCTGGGCCCTGTCCTCTGCCTCCCATGCAGGAGCCTGTCAGGAACAACCAGCGGAGGGGGAAGAGACCTGGATCACGAGAAAGATGTGGGTAGGGAGGAGCAGTGTAAAGGACAACTTTCCTTGTGCCTTGTCCTACCTCCAGCATCCCTTCCCTTCCATGGCTTAACTTGCAACTGTTCGGATGGCCCAAGCTCCTGTATGGATACGTCTTGGGCTGAGCACGATCCTCTTCATCGCTGCCTTCAGACAAAATGAGACTTGGCCTCAAGACGCAAGTGCCTACGCAGACCTTGGCATGGGCTCAGATCAGCACGGCGGCTTTTGGCCAACGTAGGAAAAGCCCTCGGAGGACAACAGATCACGTCAGAAATATACATTAGGAATCTCAGAAAAAGAAACACATTTTATTTCTGTGGGAAGCTCCTGTCTGTCTCTCTGATAGCAACAACTTGTGCTGAGAGAGATCAGAAGCAGAGCAAAAACGTAACCAAAGCCGCGTGAGCCCAAGCCGAGGCAGAGCCACACTAGTTTTCCTCCCACCTCCAGCGATGGGGGGATGATTCCCCTTTGGACAGTTTTCTTGAGCTCAGTTTCCTCCGCAGAGAGGAAAATTTGTCTCCGAGCACTTTCCGCAGCCCCGCGTTGTCCCTCGCGAAGGGCAGATCCTTCCTCATAGCCGGCAGCTGCCCCGTGAACATGTCCCACTTGGCCAGCGCGTCCACAGTCTCGTCCACGCGCGCCAGCTCCTCCTCGGAGACGTTCCTCTCCAGGGCGGCGATGCAGCTCTCCAGCCACAGCTCGTACTTCCTGATGGTG